AACCAGGCAAACCTTCCAACAATACAGCATCCTATAGACCAATTAGCCTACTCCCAATCCTCTCAAAAATTTTTGAAAAGATCCTACTGAAACGAATCCTACCTATAATTGAATCCTATAACCTTCCTACTCATCAATTCGGATTTCGTTCCCAACATTCCACTGTCCAACAAGGACTCCGAGTTGTTGACCATATATCCTCAACCCTAGAAAGCAAGCAGTATTGCTCGGGTGCATTTCTGGACATAGCGCAAGCTTTTGACCGGGTATGGCACGCCGGATTACTCTTCAAGCTTAAAATCCACCTACCACAGTCCTTATACCTAGTACTCCGATCCTATCTTTCCGACCGCTCCTTCCGAGTTCGCTGTGGCACCGAATTCTCCGACTGTTACTCAATTGAGGCTGGCGTTCCTCAAGGCAGCGTCTTGGGCCCCATCCTTTACATTCTCTTTACCGCTGATATTCCTGTCCATCCCGATACCCTCCTGGCAACTTTCGCTGATGACACTGCTATCCTTTCTTCCAACTCAGATCCTGAAACAGCGTCCGCAAACTTACAAAGGCACCTCTTCCTGATTGAACACTGGTGTAAGAAATGGCGCATCAAGGTAAACGAATCTAAATGTAAACACATTACCTTCACCCTTCGGCGTAATACCTGCCCACCAGTTTATTTTAACTCCATCCAGCTTCCTTTCTCAGATACAGTCCGGTATCTTGGCTTTCTCTTAGACAGACGACTAACATGGAATCCACATACTAGACTTAAAAGACAGGAACTTAACAGACGATATGGCCAGCTATATAGACTACTGAATAGAAAATCTAAACTTTCTGGTGAAAACAAATTACTGATCTACAAGACAATACTGAAACCCATCTGGACTTACGGACTAGAACTATGGGGAACAGCCAAATTTTCTAACATCAAACGCATTCAATCCTTTCAGTCTAAAGTCCTCCGTACAATAGTCAATGCTCCCTTCTATGTAACCAATAAAACCCTACACCATGACCTTAATATCCCATTTATTCTTGATCTTATCCCAGCCAAATTTTCCAAATTTCACCAGAACCTTTCTCATCACCCAAATCCCGTTGTACAATCCCTATCAAGCACCACCCATCCCTACAATCCCCTTCATAGGTTAAAGTGGCAGTGGCCACGAGACCTTTTGTAAATATGGATATTTTGGAGTTCTTACTCATGCCTTTTTCGTAAAATGAAAAGATTAAGAATTGGCGAGTCAAATAATGATAAAAATGCGACGCAAATTTTTTTTTTTTTCGAGATTAGTGAATTACGATGGCGAATATAACGGAAACTATAGAATATAGCGAATAAACTAATATAACCATTTCTACTGCAAATTTTGTCAGCATTAATTTCACATACTACACTATCTTGGATATAACGCATAGTTTTACTGATATAAGCGAAAAACCGATAAAAGTAAATTCAATTTTTCGACTTGAAATCTAGGAGTATGGGGTAACTGACTTTTATTTCAGGTCTTAAGACTATAAATAATATAAATTGAAAGTGTTGGTAGCTTTATATATCCATAAGCTCTCTCTGTATATACGCGTGCAACCTATTTAAGATATCTTCTATCGTCACATGGCCGCCATTTTGTATTCTAGCGGCTTGATATCTTCTCCAGGACGAACTGGTGCTTGCCAGCCAATGAACTGCTACGACCGTTGTCACATGCTTTAAATAAAAATATAAAGGTATTTATCGTTCGCCAATATTAAACATACAGTTAATAATCACTCATCCGTTCCTGAACTATCTGTAAAATCGAAGTTTTCAACAATACTACTAATCGACAATTGGATATCTCCGAATTTGACGTTCTCGAACGAAATGTTCCATTGCATATTGAGATATACGCAAAAATATCAAAATGTCCGAACTTTTTTTGACGTTACTACGAAACTATGCATTTTATCGAAATTATTAGTATATACAACGTTAAAGAAGATAAAATTTACTATCAATTTTATGCATAGCTTTTTGATATAGGGCTAACGGGTGAGCAGTAAGAGAATATTGACTGTTTGCATTTTTCACAAGAAAAATCTATTTTTGTCGGTTTTTCTCCAAAATTCGTAATCTATGCATCTATCAAAGAAATTCAATTTAATCAATTTGAAAGAGCATTAAGTTTCGTATGTACCTCATACAGACACGCTATGAAGCTACCAACGTTCTCATTTAATTAACCAACGAATAAATGTATACTTACAGATATTAAATAGTATTGTTATATTTTCCTTTTTTAAAAAGCACTGTTTTAACTCCATTTTGCTTACATTTTATTCATTACCCTTGTTTAATTCCAATATAACGATATAAATATGAAGATGGTCTGGTCATCTATAACAATTATACATTATAACAACGAAATTTACCAGGTCTCTTAAGGTCGTTATATTAATCCACTGTGTATTAATTCCAATTTAAAAAGAATATTTTCGAATTTGAAAAATTCCCTGACTTTAACAATTTTTCCCTGACTTCTCCCTGACTTTTCCAGGTCGGTCGCCACCCTGGTTCTTTAATTTATTAAAATGCATATTTTTCTCTTTGATGCATCATTTAGGAGTTATAGGTGAAAAAACAAAAAAATATCGAAAAATTCTATTTCTTTTTGGCTGTAAAAAGTTTTCCCATGGTTGCCCGCGTTAGCAATTTTGTTTTTTACATGTCTGAACCCATATATACAAGTTAAAAAAATAAAAACTTTTCCCACATTTTTCACAATGGATTTCCCGTTTCGATCCTCAAATTACAGACCTAATATTCTTTAAATCAGCCGCCATTTTTTAAAGTAGCGGCTCTGGAACGGCAGACAAGGTACTTTTTACTCAGAATAACATAGACTTTCGTAATTTACAATCAAACCTTCGCCTGCGATCCGGTCGATTTTTGGGCCCTGGCTCCAGGGCTACTGTGGCATGGATCAATTATAATAAGGCTTTTGACTCTTTGTGATACATTTGGCTGCTTAAAATACAAGGTTTAATCTAAAGTAAGCAGGCTCCCTTCAAATCTAATGGCTAGCAGGAAAATTAAACTTTACTGTCAACCAAACTAAAATATTGAGAGGAATATACTACTAAGGGACTTGTCTAAACCCACACAGTTCTATGTGGTGCTGTTCCTATTAAGCTGAATAATGTGGATAAATCAGGTGGGATACAAACTAAACATCAACAATGAAGTGACTTAGTGATGTAGAAATGTTATTCGGCCTTGATAAATGCGCCTTAAATTGATAATTGAGAGGAAAAACAGTTAGTATCAAGAAGAATCAGATCAATGAAGAAGAGTACATCAAGGAACTATAAACCAATTAATTGCACACACATACATACATATATATATATATATATATATATATATATATATATATATATATATGGACATGCAATAGGATCTTGAAATTGCCTGAAAAAAACATGAAGCAAGAGCCCATGATAATGTTCAGAATGAGGTGGCGAAAAGTACTCAAGACTCTCAGCTAACTGGGAAGCAAAAAATCAAACCATCAACACTTGGGCTATACCTGCTCTACATTATAGCTTCAGCATACTGGAGAGGTCAAACACTAACTTACAGAAGATGGGTTATCTTGTACAAATGACTCTCACACAAGAATGGGCCTACCATCCAATATCCTTTAAAGCTCCTTTGCATTTATCTAGGAAAGAAACAAGATGCGGATTGCTAAATATCAAAGAAGCTCTCCACAAGCAGGAAGTGTCTCTACGCCAATATTTTCTCATAAAACAACAGAACTTTATCTCAAGGTTGGATTCAGATCTATTTACACTTAATCTGAGCAAAGATGATGACTCTACAATTGTGTCAGACTGGAGTATCTGAATGAGAGATTCTACTGCAAATTCAATAATACCTCCATTGACAAGGGGAGATCAGTTAAATGGTTGAAAGCTGGAAGGTTATTTTCTAAGACAGAAGGATTTGTATTTGCCATTCAAGATAAGGTTATTGCCACTAAATCAGATAGAAGACATGATAGAAAAGACACAACAATACCGGATAAATGTTGATTGCGGTCAGTGATGCTGGAATCAATCCAACATATCACAAATAGATTTGGAGTGCTAGCTGATACTGAATATCTTTAGAGCCATAACAATGAGTCAAACATTTTCCATCAGGAACTGTCGCCATATTAATTTTATCAACCAGGCACCATATTATAAGTATGAACCAGGTGCTATATCAGGCCCTGTCGCCATATCAATAGTATTAACCAGGCACCATATTATAAGTATCAACCAAATAGGCTAGTTCAAAAAAGTCCCCTTAAGCTGTATTGGGGTGAATAAATTATTACAGACCTTAATGTGCATCATGCCAGACCTGATATCCTTCTTTTAGGTTTCAGAGGGAAAAAAATCAAAACTTATTGATGTTGGGATTCCCATTAGTAATATAAGTTCCACCATGGATGAGACTCTGAAAATATCAGGCTTATATGAAGATGAGGCTCATATGAAAAGTGTTACCACCACACCAATAATAATTATAATATTCATAAATCAGTTGACACCAAAGTCAATAGTGGCAGGCATGGGTTGTTCAGAATTGTCTCTTGATAAAAATATAATGAAGGTAGCTAGTTCAGCTGGACAAGTCCTCTCTCCCATGGAAGTTACCCAACCCGCAAACACAAGAAAAATCAGAAGAAAATATTAATAAATAAATTCTTTATTTATTCTTGGAACAAGGCTTTATATAATAACATTATAAAAAATAAAATTTTAGACTTTAGAGCCTCAGAGTAAAAGAAAAACAACAAAAAAATGATTGATAAATAAAAAAAATGAAATTATAATAAATTATATGCAAACTTCGAGTACATATGATATTATATAATGAAACAAACACTCAAATAATTATAACATAATGAATTATAATCCTTTTTTTTACATGAAAGAGATAATTAAAGTTGGCTTACTGTTAGTCTCATCTCCAAAGTTTTTTTCATTAGAGATTCAGTCTTGTCTTTTGTAGCATTAAAATTTTCTCTTGTCTAGTCACATAAAAACAAAGGAAAATGAGTAAACATTAATTAATAATAAACACAATATATAAGCTTTAGAATTACTTTATAAAGGATAGGTTCGGACAAAATAATGATTTTCATAAATGTCCAGCATTAAATCAATATTAAAGGATGTCTTTTTTTACTAAATAATATTTAATTAAAAAAAAATCATTATACAATAATGATTCTTTTGAGTGAGGGCTATACAATTTACTAAATTATAGAGAAGATATTAAATTTATTTACCTTTTGAATTTTTAACTGAAGTTCATTCATGAAAGGTTTGAAGTCTAAACCAACTTCATGACCTTCGTGATAAAATGTTAACCATCCTAACATGAAAGTCAAAAGCTGGAAACAAAAAACTCATTTATATTATTCTATAACAATTGCAAGGCACAATTTATAAACAGCTCAAATTGTAAAGATATATTTGAAATAAATAGAAACAGTATTTATATATATATACACACACACACATAAATATATTTGTCATTTCTCACACACATGTCTGATATCACATTATTGATTTTATTTTTTTATAGGTTATTGGCTGAGCAGGATAATGCACATGAAGCAGGTATTATTATAAATTTAATGCAGTTAATACTTTAATGAGTGGTGAACTAAAACCATCTGGAGCCAATTAAAATGGATGATGAAGGTCAAACTTTCAATAAGAAAACACAATGAGAAGCAGGAAGTAAGACAAGTGATTATAATTCAGGTGGGAAAAAAATGTTTGCAATTTTGGAAGAAAGCATTTAGGTTTTTAAAATTCTAAGAATAATAAATGTTCAGCATGTTAAAGTTGTAAAATTACATATATAAAACCTGTAATCTGAAAATAAGAAAAAACAGTTAGATAAAATAAGAATAACTATATTTCATATGGTTTAACAGATTTTACAAAAATAATAATATGAAATCTGAATATGCATAAAAGAATACATGTAAAATTAAATGTTATTATTACATAGGGTAAAACATAAAGTTTTCAGCACCCTTAAAGAAACCTAAAATGTGTTTGTCCCATTTTCAATAGCCTGGGTACTTGGTTCAACAATTTTGGCTCTGTTAAGTCAGTGAAGATCTCTAATATTAAAATATATATGTGAAACAATGCCTTTCATTTATTTTTTTTTTCAAACGGAAAAATTTAAAAATATCCGTATGTGCCATTTTTCGGCATTCCTTATCCAATTTTCAAAAACCAAAAGAATTAAATGTGGCAGCCTTCATAATGAAAGAACTAAAATGATTTTATACAGGAATTCCTGGCAGAAACTGGCCAGATTTCTAATCTTCAGTGATTTTTTCGACCTATAAAACTAAATAAATAGTCGGAGATGCTAGAATATGCGAGTGCAGGAGATTTCTGCTTCAAGTGAAGACTTTTTGCCACCTCTAAATCATTCCCCATGCCTTATATCCTTAAATAACTATAATGAGTACCAAAAACTGGGATTTTACTCTATATACTTAAGCTGGATTAATTTACACACACTATACTTTAAAAGAAATTGAATTCAAATTTAACCAAAATGCTAGTTTTTGTTACTAAAATAAAATTTATATATAATTACCGTCTCTACAAATTCAAATTTCTTTCTTTCCTGAACTTGTTGAAGAAGAAATACATATTCTAAACTTGCTTGAAAAAAATATCTTTGTTCCATCTCCAAAGTAGCATCTGCCTGCAAAATTAAATTAAATTTTATTTTGTCTAATATATAAACTTCAAAATATATCTAAAACTAGACGGTGAAGAAAAATAAATTAATCTATGTAAACAGTATTTTATTACAACATATTTGATAATCAACAATTGATAATTAAGAACATCCATAAACATAATATTTGCTATCCATTTCTATTATGTTAAATCATCAAAGAAAAATTTTTTTTTTTCAAAAGTATTGAAAAAGAATAAAATAAATATCTATCCTATACTATTTATTTATTTACATTTAATTAATAGGGATAATATTAAAACAAATAATACTAGAATGTATTTATTTATGTACTTTTCAATTACAAAAAAAAATCTGAAATATGATAAGCATAATTATTTAAATAAGTATGATATATTAAAAATTGTAAAGATGCTTATATATCAAACATAGCCTTATTCATTTAAACAAATTTCAACCATGAAACAACTAAGGAACATATAAATGATTAGTTATACAAATAATCTAAAATTCAACAGATATAGTGTTTACATATTCAAAAATTAAGTGTCAAATATACATTAGTTTAGTTTGTGCAATCATAAACATTTCCTACCCCCCTAAACATCAAATTTTTCACTGACATCGATAATAGCATAAATCACTGACTGGACTAGAATAATCAATACCTAAATTTTTGAAAGGTCAATTAAGTAAATATAGTAAATTTTTTTTTTTTTTTTTTTTTTTAAATTTCTTTATTGAGTATTATAACAATCTGTCTGTTGGACATTGGTTATAGTGAGGTAGGATGACATTCACACCATATGTACAAAAAAATAAAATAAATAGAACAAAATAATAATCAAAAGTATATACAATAGACAATAAAATAAAATAATCTAAAAAATAAGAAAATTAAAACTAAGGAAAAAAAAAAAAACACATGCATACCTATATACAAAGTAAATTTAAATAATTAGTTTAAAATGCCATTATAGCTCAAAATTATTTCTAATAAATATAATGGAAAAATATTTAATAAATGTAATTATTGTTGAACTGTTTAAAGAATTTATAAATGTATTGAAAAAACTATAATTTAATATAATGAATAAGTAATATGTTATTTGAAAATAGACATCAGAAAAATTAATCATTAGTAGCATTCTAATAAGTTATTGACAGAAAGTAAATTTATTTATTTTTTGCATTTTAACACAATGTTCATTTAGAGATTAAGTATTATAATTTATTTTTTGTCAACATACATGGTTAATATCTAACAGAAGGAGTAAAGCACTGTTCAAATCATAAACAGTAATTAAATTAAATTCAGAAACAAAAAATGGAAGATAATAAACAATGTTTAAACCAGGAAAAATAAAATGTTGGAATATGATTTATCTTAAGAAATGACCAACTCTTAAATTATTAAACATTATGTTTTGTTTTTTTAATATAGGCTGTTTGTAATAAGGTATAATACAATTCAACGCGAAATTGATAAAATTATCAAAATAGCTTTTATGAATTACAATAAAAAAAATAAAATAATAATTCACTTATCGGTTCAATGAATATTATTAAGTTTTATAGTTAATATAATCTACTAAATTTGATATAATATATGTATGTACGTATATATTTTTTTAAATTACTGCAACATTTTGCATGAAAACTCACTAAAACATGTAGTTATATCTTGATAGGGAGTCATCACAAAACACCAACTTTTTATTAAATTTTATTGTACCTCTTGCCAACATTTGACAAATTAGAGATTGTATGACAGCTGCAAGGTTTTGAATGGACTGAATCCCTTGCCAACCTTTGAGGACTGAGCAGCAGAGAGGGGGGGGGGAGCCACTCCACCCCCTACTGCTCCACAGATCAATGGACATTTCTCCTTATGAATCAATGTTTTACTACCCCTCATTCCATAAACATATAGCTCTTGAATATTAACAATAATTTTATTAGTTAAAAGCAGGAATGCAATAATAAAACTTACAAAGAACATTATTTTAAAAGGAAATAAATTCTAATACAAATTAGAATAGAAAATAATAGAAGAAAAGTAGCTTTAAATGTTTAAAGTTACACATAAACGTTCATAATTTTCAATTTAAAAAGTTTAATAATTACCACATATTAGCGATAAAACTTAGGCTTTAGTAATGTAACGTTGTGTTTTTGAATTGATTCATTTTAAAAAATTTTACTTTTAACTCACGAATAATCTTATAACTTATATTAGGAAGTTTTTACATGTAGGAAACAACAATGCATGCCGTTTACTTGCAAGGACGCTATGAATAAAATAACAAATTTTTCATTTCAAGAAAAATACTATTTGCTAGTTTAAATAAAAAAAAGTTAGAGTAGCACAGAGCTGAGGTTTAAAGCAGTTAGTTGCCGCACATTTTATGGTAAAAAATTAACCAAGAAAATTAATTCGTTAAATAAGACGAAAGGAAGTATCCTATTTGATACAGAAGGGACGGTAATTTTTAAAGTACAGAGTTTTTTATTAAGAATAGATATTGGTGGCCATTCTTAAGAAACTTAAGAACAAAATCGTAATAATCGAAAATCGTTTACAGTCTAAAGATATCTTGCGTATAGTGAGGATCATTGAAGCATTAGAAGCTCCGAGGACAGATAAGATATTCATTTCTTTTCTTTCTTTCCAAAATAATCCTATTTAATTAATTAAGTTATATAATTTTTCATTTTTTTTTTTGTTTGTTTTAATTTTTACAATAGTTAAAAGAGAAAATGTTCTAGTGACAGTAGAGATGATATTCCACTGAATCAACTCGTAAATTTAAGTTCTACAGAAAAATAAATGATATCAGTTCCAAATAATAATTTTAATACAATTCATATATACAAAGGTCCAGAAAACAAAACAATTAATCTAAATAATCCAGGGTGGATTATTTAGATTAATTGTTTTGTTCTCTTTCTTAAATCTCTTTCTCTCTTCTCTTCTGAAATCTCTTTCTTCATATGGACAGGGTGTCCATATGAAGAAAGAGATTTAGGGCCTTATTGTATATTTATTGAGTAGATCAACCGAAGGAGCGGGAATGAGCCGTATTCTCTCTATGACCATGAGGAAATTATTGAACAATTCAATAACGTAAATATATAACATGTTTTCAGTCAATAGCTCAGGTTGTAACAGAATTAAAATGGAAACAAGTACATGCGAACGCCCTGATTCCGTCGGAATTATTAAAATAAAAATATCTTGTAGCGTACATTCCGCAATTTATGCTGGAGAGAAAGGTATTATAAGGAGTACAGATATAAATCTGTCTGCAGAAAATATACTAAATCGTGCTAAAACGTTATATTTCGAACCACTTAAAGTCATTAGTGTGAGGAGATTTAAAAACAAAATTTTTAATAATGATTCATAAGAATACGAATAATCACGAGTATTCACCACGTAAGATGCGAGGTACATCGATATGTCCAAGTTTTAATAGTGTCATAATTGTTTCAGATGTAGTTACCCGGACCACACAGTGCTCAAGTACAACACCCAGGTGTCCATAATGTGGCAAAAAAATATATTAAGAAAGAGTGTACTCCCGGTACTCTTTTAAAATGCGACCATTGCAAGAGTAATTATTCCTCCTTAGCGAAAAATCGTGGCTCGGAATATATAACCAAATAAAGATTAAAGAATTAATGTCTACAAAAAATTTAACTTATCTAGAGACAAACAATTATTTAGAAGATAAATCATATAGCTGGGCCGTTCTGAATAGAACACCAGAACCATTTCCAGCAAATTAATTTAATAAAAGTAAAATTATCATAAATAAAAGGTTTTGGGTCACAAGTCCAGAAAAACATCCCGTAAACAACGACCTGTACGATACACTAGCGGTTCCAGGATTTAATTTTTGGGCGGAGGCTTCAGCCCGAAAGTTTTTTTTTTCATATCTGTAACGGAAAAAAAGAAAGAAGCTAACTACCTATATAAAATGGTGTTTAAGTGATTCTTGAAGTCCTCGTAAATGTAATTAAACGAACAATAATACTTTAAGAGATAATTTTTTTCCATGAAACATGGTTATATTTCACCATATTCTTTTTAGGGGGGGGGGAGAGGGAGGCTTTCGCACTGCAGCCTAATAAATTTAATCTCAACCTAATCTTTTTATAGCTCCCCCTGGACACTTAATCACGAAATGTAATAGGAAAAAGTTGATAAATAGTTTTGAAAGACCTTTAATTTTAAGCAGAGATGTGAATGCCCATCATTAACAATGGGGTTGTGAAAACTGTAGTAATAAAGGTAACAATCTTGTTTCTGCCCTAATAGGTTGAAATAATGGAGTGTCTACTTCAGTTAAAAAATCTTTATTTGGACGCTGCACTTGGCCAACATCGACTAGAAAGGAGTGTAGCAGCTAATAACAAATTGTGCGACTGCCAATATTGTTTTCATAAAAGAAAATAAACAATAGGCAGCCTTTTAGGGGTGGTTATCATACTGATATCAATATTGTATTAACAAATATCTATAAATCTTAATGTAACGAAAGTATACGATACTGTTCCAATACAGACACTAGCTAAAAATATGAATAAGGCAGAAAAAAAATATAAATTATTAGATTTTATAAGTAATTTAATAGATAATATGAAAATATATTTAAAAGAGATTAACTCAAAAATTTCAACCAAAAATGCTGGGGTAGGACTACCTCATGGAGTTATTCTGTAATTTCCTATTTATAATTTTCTCATCGGATTTACGAAAATATATTCCGTTTCAACCATGCAATTCGATGACGCCATATGTTTATGCTTCACATAAACCAAAAGTAAAGGTATAGAACTGCTAAATAAAGCTATAAAGGTTTTAAGCGGTGACAACTTGAATATGGCATGGAAACTTTGGCAACGAAATCAGTAGTTGGTCCATTCAGTAGGAAACATGTTTTTTCCATTAGGGAACCAAGCAGCTTTGGTGGAAATAACTTTTCCGAGCTCTACTA